AAAAAGTGAATTGATATACTCACCCCATCTCAAATCATTTCGACATCCCCTTTATATTCTACCGTTTTTCCAGATGTGATTGAATTGTATAAATCGGTTTAGACATAAATTCAAATATATATTATGTCTTAAGAATCTGAAGTTGTATAAATCCGAAATCAGAATATTTGAAAGTATCAAACTATATATGTATATGAGTGTTTATATAATTGTATATACAGGGTGTCCTTGTCGGGAGGCGTCGGTGGCCGCAAGGTTTAGTCACACGGTGCTCATCACTGTAAGGTAAAGGTCCCGGGTTCGAATCCAGGGGCCCTGCATTCGAACTCGACATACTTACAAATGGGCTTTTTTTCAAAAACACCGGCACCCTAAGGGTTTATATGACCTTTGCTGTTGCGAACCCTCGTAAAAAAAACAAACAAAAAAAACAGGGTGTCCTTATTAGATGGCCCGGCGGAATTTCTCTTGAACCAATTACACTATCAAACAAAAAAAAAAAAAATACGTTTTTAATATTTTTAGACTAGTTTCAAACTTTTACCTTTTTTGTTGAAAAATTATACACGGTACCTCAGGCCGAGTTCGATTTCAAAATTTCAAATAAGACCCTATACATCCTGACACATCATTTTAAAGGATTTTTACGCTGAAAACAAATTTTAAATTGATCAAAAACTGATTGAGTTTTGGCGAAAATTTTTGAAAAACGTATTTCATTTGTTTAGTTGTTAATGCCAATAATTTGCTTCTTCTCTAAAGTAAACATTATTGCCATCATTGTTTACATTCTGTCACTATTTGTCAAAATCGCTTTACGAGAGCAAAACTTAATTGTTGGAAATAATTAATTTTACAATAGTTCCTATTTGTTATATTCGGTATTCCATTCAAAATGAACCGAAGAGCACATTTTTCAGATCAACAGCGAGTTGATATGTACGACTGCTTTATTGACAGTGGTGGTACTGCGCGTCGTGCAGTTGTTTGTACTCCCAGAAATTTCCTGATTGTCCCAGAGTAAACCCAAAAACGTTTATTCATGTTACTAGCAATACGAGGAGATACGGATCAGTTGGTGTTCCATCACCAAGAAACCGGCAACTTAATATTTTACAGTATGATCGCGAAATTCGATTTCCTATCGCCGAAATATTGGAAGGGTTTTAGGTTTCTGAAACAATAAAATTACATTCAATTCACTAGTTTCGTGGTCCGCTTGACCAATTAATATATTACAATTAATTAAGGTTTTCAGTTGAGATAAAAAGTCAATGGCACGAGCGGGATTCGAACCCACGATCTTCGGCTTGATTCGCCGCTGCTCTACCACTTGAGCTATCGTGACCTCGATCCACTCGGACATCAAGGAGGGAAAATTCAAAAGGTGTGGTTGAGATGGGAAGTTAGTGCCCGAGAGGATCAAAGTCAAGATAGCTCAAGTGGTAGAGTAGCGGCGTATTTAGCTGAAGGTCGTGGGTTCGAATCCCGCTCGTACCACTGACTTTTTTATCTCAACTGAAAACTTTAATTAATTGTAATATATTAATTGGTCAAACGGACCACGAAATTAGTGAATTTAATGAATTAAATGAAGTATACTTCACTAAAGCTCTCCGTGGCCATTTCATTTGTTGCCGAGAATCAAATTGATTACACGACATTTGAAAAATGGCAAAAAGGAGGGAAAATTCAAAAGGTGTGGTTAAGATGGGAAGTTGATGTCCGAGTGAATCGAGGTCACGATAGCTCAAGTGGTAAACCACTAACCATTGGAATTTTCGAACATGTGCAGAGGAATATCCGAGAATTTCGTACATTTGTTATCATCAGGGGTTTCACAGTATCAATGTTTGGTGTAGACTTCTCGGCCTTATTTCTAGGAAAATAATTTAATTGGTGCGCAGTTCCTCAATTTTTTGAGGGAAGTTTTACCAACACTATTAGATGATGTTCCTCTGCAACAACGACAAAGAATGATCCTCCAGCTTGATGGATGCCCCGCACACAATTATTTGCAGGTGAGACGTTATTTGAATCGTCCCTTTCGGGATAGGTGGATAGGCCCGATCTGTCTGACTCCTCACCCGATTTAACTCCACGTGACTATTTTCTGTGGGGTCATTTAAAAAACAGTGTCTACGCGCAATCATAACCCAGCAATCTCAGGTGATGAAATGAAAGTATAGAAAATGCTTGTTAATCCATCTCCACTGATTCTATCGCTCTGAGCACTGGTGAAGGAAGGTTAAAAAGAGCAAATCTTTGCATCTTTACGGAAGGGAAGAGGTTCGAACATGAACTGTGATTAATAAATAGCAAACTTAATACTAAACAAATTGTTTGTACTTACTGTTTTTTCCAAACTTTTTGTCATATCTTTATGATTTTTTGACCAATTTAAAATCCGATTGCACCTTTGTTTTCAGCGTAAAGAATCGTTTAAAATGATGTGTCAGGATGTATAGGGTCGAATTTGAAATTTTGAAGTTGAACCGGGTCTGATGTACCCTGTATAATTTTTCTCCAAAAAAAGATGAAAATTTGAAACAGGACTAAATAATATTAAACACGTATTTTTTTATAGCGTCATTGGTTCGAGAGAAATTCATTCGTGCCATCTAAAAAGCATACCCTGTATACCTGATGATAGTGATCTAATCATGGTAAGCTCGGCAGTAAAACGATTCTGTAAGACCCACCCGTTCACTTCCTGTCATTATGATACTGGTCGATGATTCCATTAAACGAAAAATCATTTTAGCTTAATTATATTTATGCTGTACCTTATCTCTCAATAATATTTCTCATGATTATACATATTTTTCAGAGTTGAGGTTTGGTGGTACTTTTCATGATGGTATTCTTGGATTTAGCAAATTCAGAGTTTTGCCCTTAGATTACATAATTAATTATTACGTAAAGATTATAATTTGAATCTACATAAGGAGACATTTATTCATTACACCTTATCATTGCCTCATCGGCCGGTGACGAACCTTTAGTTTGTCCGTTACCCATTGACAAAATGATAGGATTTTCAAAATCGAGGTTTGGTGGTACTTTTCACGATGGTATTCTTAGCTTTAGCAAATTCTGATTTTTTGCCCTTGGTTTACATAAGTAATTATTATGTAAAGAATATGATTTGCAAAGTAGACATTTATTCATGAAATTTTAAAATTTCCTCATTGGCCGGTGATGAATGGCGACCCCATGTTATTTATGCTGAGTTCCATAGAAATAATTGTAGAAATTTGTGCCTAATCACATGTCGAGAAAGGCCTCTTATTACATCTTCTATGTGGACTATTTGTTAAATTTATGATCTGTTATATGACTGTAGTGCAAAAATAATAGTAATAATAATATTTTCCGTATAAGATAATCTCCAGTCTTCCTACAGTGTAAACAAAACTATGTTTCACATTCCAAATGATTGTTATTGAAATGTTAAACTTTATTGTACATTTTTCCGAATAAAATTGTTTACTGTAAAGCAGGCGAGTAAAATAATCGAAAATCAGTTAGAACCACTTAAAATAATTATTTTGCTTCATTTGCTAGCAATCGTAAAAGCTAGTTTTTCCTAACTATTTCGATTTTGTAAAATATAATACTATAAATAAGTAAAGAGAGAGGAACAGTTGGCGAGAAAACGAGCACCCAATATAAACTTTGTGGCTTTGAAGTTAACGCGAGTGAACGAACAGCCGATATGAACGCTGAGGCTTTCAAGACAATGTAGGTGAATGAATAGCCAATATGAGCACAGAGGTTTTGAATTTAGCGTCTTATCTTATGAACAGCAAATATGAGCTCTGAGTCTTATAGTTTAGCAAGGGTGAATGAACAGCCCATATGATCGCTGATGCTCTGCGGTGAGCGTGAGTGAACGAACAGCCAATATGAACGATGACGCTATGAATTCAATGGAGGTGAATGAACAGCCAATATGATCGCTGTGCTCTACGGTGAGCGTGAGTGAACGAACAGCCAATATGAACGCTGACGCTTTGAATTCAATGTAGGTGAATGAACAGCCAATATGATCGCTGATGCTCTACGGTGAGCGTGAGTGAACGAACAGCCAATATGAACGTCGAGGCTTTGAAGTCAATGTAAGTGAACGAACAGCCAATATGAACGCTGACGCTTTGAAGTCAATGTAGGTGAATGAACAGCCAATATGGGCACAGAAGTTTTGAATTTAGCGTCTTGTCGTATGAACAGCAAATATGAGCTCTGAGTCTTACAGTTTAGCAAGAGTGGATGAACAGCCAATATGATCGCTGATGCTCTACGATGAGCGTGAGTGTACGAACAGCCAATATGAACGTCGAGGCTTTGAAGTCAATGTAAGTGAATGAACAGCCAATATGAGCACAGAAGCTTTTAAGTTACCGTCTTGTCTTAAGAACAGGTAATATGAGCTCTGAGTCTCATTGTTTATCGAGAGTGAATAAACAGCTACTATGATCGCTGATGCTCTGTGGTGAGCGTGAGTGAACGAACGGCCAATATGAGCGTTTTGGTTCTGAGGTAAGTGTGAAGGAACATGATGATGATGTACGATCAATCTCTGAGGCTAGCATGAGTGAAGAGTGAACGAAAAGCCGATACGAGCACTGAAGATCTAAGGTGTAGTAAAAAAATCAAGTCAGTTATCAGAAAACCGTCATTTTTTTTTTATATGGTGTCACTCAAGTATCAGTATTTTAAACTCTACTTAACTGTCAGATTTGACATTTAACTTTAACCCATTGACTCGAGAACAAAGGGCCCATTTTATGTACTTTTTTCGTATTAGGTTCGAAGAAAATTTCAAAGGTAATGCGGGGATTCGAACAAAGAGGCTATAACATTGAAAATAAAAAAATATATCTCAATAAGTTATTGTGAGATATCGTTTTGAGTTCTGAGAATGAAAACACACATCCTTAAAACAACGACAGAACTGCAGTCAAATTATACAATCTGACTTATCCTATGGTACTTACTTGTACTCTAACTTCCGGTAGGTTGACTTTCATGGCGAGTTCTTCCCTGCTGTAAACGTCCGGATAGTGACTTTTCTCGAACGCCCTTTCTAATTCGTGCAGCTGGTAAGTGGTGAATGTCGTTCGGTTCCTGCGGTGTTTTTTCTTATCAGGGCCGACGGAGGAGTTGCCGTGCTCGTCCTCGCCATCCTCACCGGAGGTGGATCTCAACTCGTTCACGGATCGACATGAGCCTTGTTCCACTCGGCCTTTGACACCTGGAAATATTAAAAAATATCGTTCATTCAAATAAAACAGGAATTTTCCTATTAAATTTATCACGTCTTGACCGAGCACTATAGTCCAGATTAACAGTAAAATTAGAATAATCTAAGTGTGTGTGTTTTTTTCCCCTTTTCATCAAAATATTTACCCGTAACGACCTGTGAATTAACCTAACAAACAAAAAATCAAAAAGTTTTTTAATAAAGCAAAATTTCTACCGCCCTCCCTGAAATCCCCAGTTTTGGAAGGTATAGCATATGGAATGACAAACACGCTTAACGGGAGAGCGACTGTTTTTCTTAGCTAAATATTGGGTTGTCCGGAAAATAATGCAGGATTTTAAGTTTTCATTAAAAAAAATCTATATAAAATATTCTGTTTACGTTTACAGGATAACTCATTTGTATGAATGTCAACACTTATTAATCCTCTTCCAAATGATATTGTTTGTTTACCTCTGTAGCATTCCGCTACTTGGAAATAATTCAGTCATCCTTATAATGTCAAAGCGAGAATTTCGTACGATTTTCTTTTACGAGTTTAAACTCGGCCGAAGCGGAGCCCAAACGGCTAGAAACATTAACCAAGTCTGGGGCGAGGGTTGTGTTAATGAGTGCACTGTGCAAAGGTGGTTTAAAAAATTTCGGGAGGGAGATTTCAGCCTTGAAGATGAAGAAGGTCGTGGAAGGCCTTCCTCTCTTAATGATGATGTTCTGCGATCAGTGGTGGAAGAAAACCCCAAAACAACTGTTCGAGAACTTGCAGAGCAACTCAAAGTCAGTAAAACGACCGTCGCTGACCACCTCAAGGCGATTGGAAAAGTGAAAAAACTCGAAAATTGGGTTCCACACTCATTAAACGATCGCCAAAAAATCAGCGCTTTGATGTTTGTGCATCACTTCTTTGTCGAAACAAAAATGACCCATTTCTGGCCAGAATTGTTACATGTGACGAAAAGTGGATTCTCTACGATAACACTAGACGTTCTGGACAGTGGCTCGACAAAGGAGAAGCTCCAAAGCCCCCAACTCATCAAAAAAAGGTAATGGTTACGGTATGGTGGGCTTCATTTGGTTTAATACACTACAGCTTCTTAAATCCTGGCGAAACCATCAATGCTGAATCATACTGTAACCAAATTAATACCATGCATCAGAAATTGGCAGTAATGAAGCCCTCTTTGGTCAATCGGAAAGGGCCCATTTTGTTGCATGACAACGCTCGACCACATGTGTCACGTGTAACGTCACAAAAATTATTGGAGCTTGGCTATGAAACTTTGCCTCACCCACCCTACTCTCCGGACCTCTCGCCTACTGACTACCATTTTTTTAGACACCTGGACCACTACTTACAACACATAATATTCAAAAATCAAACGGAACTGGAAAATGCATTTATTGACTTTATCAATTCTAAAAATTCTGAATTCTACTCAGACGGAATTAATAAGTTACCAACACGTTGGGAGAAATGTATTGAGAGTATGGGAAATTATTTTGATTAAAGAACATTGCTTTAAAGTAACTAGTTTCTTTTTTTTTGTTTAATACCAAAATCCTGCATTATTTTCCGGACAACCCAATATTATTCATGTTTTATTAAAAGACAACCTTTTGTGCATAAAATGAAACTTGTTCTATAAAATTCCGAGCTTTAAAAATGTTCGACATAATTTTTTGAAAGTTGCAAATCGAATTATACCTTATACCCAAAGCTGTCCCAAGTCCTGGATAGACAGAACATTCCTCATCATCTTTCAACTACACTAAGAAAAAAACGGGTTGTAATAAAAAAATGGTACCGAAAAATGGCAACCTTTTTGGCCTCTTCTTGAACAATTAATTGACCTTAAAAATTTGCTAAATTGTTTTAATGTTTTAGAGTTTGATTCCCAAAAAGAAAGTACAGAATCTTCTGAATAAGAAATGTTGAACAAAATTAATATACGTGGAATAGAATTGAAAATTTAAAAAAAGGAAGTCCTGGGCGGATCATTCTGTATTATCGTCCATCACATACTAAGAAAAAACGGTTTGACATAAACCTAATAGATTTTTAAAAAATGGTACAGAAAAATGGCAACCTTTTTGGCTTCTCCTTGAACAACAAAGTGACTTTAAAAATTTGCTGGTTTGATGTTTCGTTTTCCAGTAAGACATTTAAAAAAGTACAGTTTTTTCTCAATATTTCAAATACTTATCAAAATTAAAATACATTGAGTCGAAGTCAAGTTAAAAAAACAAAATGGAAAATGGATAAAACCAGCTGTTCGTCCGAAAATCCCTACTTAACCTCCATCATATACTAAGAAAAATAAAGCAAAGAAATTGGTTATACTAGACCAAATTCTCCTTGAACAACTAAACGATTGAAGAATTGCTGATATATCGTCGAATTTTTGATGTTAATGGTTAAAAAGATAGTACAGACTCTCCCGAATAAGAAATGTGTATCAAAATTAAAATGAATCGAGTAGAAGCGAAGATAAAAACAAAATAGGAAAACATCTATTTCTCAAAAAAAAACCTATTTAAATAACTTGAACTTTGCCCAAAACTGAACCAAGTCCTGGATGGATAGATTATCCTAAACGCTGTTGACGGTTAACTTAGCCTTTTATTACAAATGATCAGCAAATTACCATATCACTGTATTTGTAACCTATGTTTAAAAATTGTGAATAGATACTAATTTCTAATAATATTTTAAATTAAATAATTATGACTATTCAGAGATCGTGAGATGCGGTCTGGTATGACGTAGGTTTTAGAAAAACATTTTCTTTATCGTGCCAACGTTTCGATCTTTATTGAGATCATCTTCAGACTCTCAACACGACACACAAGAATGACACATCTACACGGAAAACAAACACTTTGAGCCTTGAAGATGATCTCAATAAAGATCGAAACGTTGGCACGATAAAGAAAATGTTTTTCTAAAGCCTGCGTCACACCAGACCGCATCTCACGATCTCCGAATAATAATTGACTAACGGTCACTAAACATTACACACTTAAATAATTATATTTTCAAAGACCTGAAGGGAAAGAATTTAGAGATGTTTTTCTTTATAATTTGCCCCCTCCATGATCGGTTTTTAATGTATAATTCGTCATAATTTTTTTTTTAAATAATAACTCCACCGTTGATCACCGGATCGTTTAGATTTACCGATTGAATTTTCCCGCTTGCCTACGGGCCAAGATTCATTTCCTTATCGTTCCCTCGCTTTTTTTTTCTTCCCCGTTATAAAAGAGGATCCTGGAAATGTTCCTAAACGGGAAATCCTTCCCAATATTGAATCATCACCAAAGTGGCATAAATCCAGGCGGATTTCAAATTAGGATGGGGTACGTAAAACTCCAAAACCCAATCGGTCACAGGTCACACGTTTAACAAAACGTTTTAAAAGCATGTATGGATGTACTTTTTTTAAATGAATTTTTACCTCAACAAAGGCTGGTTCAGAATGTTTCAACACGAGAAATCGTTTCAGTTCAACCGATGTATTAATAACTGATTAAAAAATTAAAAAATGAACTATGAAATACACTCAAAGGCAAAAAACCGGTCACTCGTATTTGATTGTTTTTCTCAAACAATATATTTTTATAGTTTTATTAATTACAACAAACTTATTTTAATTTAAATCAAATTAAACGAGATGAGAAATTCATGAGTTGTAATATAAAAGAAATAATTATGTAAGGTGGTTTGAAAGAAAATTCACCAAAACTCCTGAAAATCGTTTAGTCATAGATTAAAATGTAACTAATAATTTAATCCTTTTTTAAACAATAGTTCCTAGACACAGTAATTTGTTTTGCAATAGATTCGGATTTCGAGCTTTTAGCTCTTCATCAGGTTGAAGGAGTTCTACAACCACGTTTCTCGACATGAATTGCAAAAGTGAACCCGCCGATATCCCCTCTAACGCGATGTTCCAATGAGGAGCTGGTTTTTAATGCCGCTCAATTTTGAACGTGCGAAAAGCGGGAATTATAACACAACTAAATATTATATTAGTAAATACTGTAAGAAAATAATTATAAATTAGTGATTAAAGATAAAATATTTGATAAAATTTGAATAATAAATTAATAAAAGATTAGTGAATTGTGATTAAATTAATAACAATTAAAATAATTTATTTATTTATTTGGACTTTAATATTATTTGTGTACATATTTAAAATGAGAGGTAGATCCAAATCTATTATATTATTGATGCATTCATCTCCATGTTCAAGTTTGCATTTTTTAATTTTAAATTTTTCAAACCAATCTAGTTCTCTCCCTTTGTTGAAACTACGTAACACTGTTGTATTTAAATTTGAATTGAAATTATGTTTTGCTTCTTTTAGATGGTCCTTAATTTCCGAAAATTTGCTTATTTACGCAAGTGTTCTTTTACACTCGTTTTTATTTCTCTACCGCTTTGTTCTATATATTTAATATCACAATCATTACAATTGAGTTGGTAAACCCAGCTTTTTGCCAAGTTGTCTACCTTGTCTTTAGGTTTTGAGAGGATGTTTTTAAGTGAACCCGTACTTCTAAAAGCTGTTCTAAAACCTTTAAAAATTTTACTAACTTTTTCTGATAGTTCACCAAAGTATTCATGTGAAACGTGGTTGTAGAACTCCTTCAACCTGATGATGAGCTAAAAGCTCGAAATCCGGATCGGTGGAAAACAACTTACTATGAGTAGGAACTGTCTTTTTAAAAAGGATTGAACACCGCACTGACTCCACCATTCATCGTTTCTAATAACAATTTAATACCTAGTTTTGCTGTTGATACGTTACTGAATATTTTAAGTGTTAAAGAAGTGGAAATTTATCAAAACCACAAAAATAGTGATACCATTAAAACGTCTAAAAAGGAAAATTTTATAATTTTAGATCCATTTAAATTACACATAGTGGCATCAATCTAATCTCCGTAAATACCTCAAAATCGGAGATATCGAATAATAAGTGAGATGA